CCTTAAATCCCCCCATATCCGCCAAACATCCCCCCCAAAAACCCTCTCCTATCCCGTCAAAACCCCCTCATCCACCTCGGCTGCAGCTCCACGTTCCAGGGCCCCTCCCAGCGCCATCCCTTGGGGGGCTGGATCTTTCCCGGAGGGAGCCCCTCCCTGCCCATGCCATCGGAGAAGGGGGGACGCCCCAACAGCTTCCAGGGCCCCCATTTCCCCAGAAACCGTGTCTGGTTTTCGTACTGGGGGGACAAAAAACACAGCAGGGTTGGGGAGGGTTTGGGGGTTCCCTCAGGGGGTTTGGGTGGTCCCAGGGTGGTGTCACACTCACGGTCTCGGTGTGGAATTGCAGGGACCCCTCGAGGAGCTGGGGCAGGGCCCCGCTGTCGCACACCCGGCACAGCCACAGCCGGACACGGACCTGGGCACGGACAGTCCCGGATCCCTGAACCCCAAAATGTGAGTGAGGGGTGGAAATGGAGAGGGGAGAGAGAGGGGACGGGGGGGGACAGAGAGTGGGACATGGGGAGGATGTGGTGGGAATTTGGGGAAGATGGGGGGGTGGAGGGGACATGGAGCAGTAGCGAAGAGGATAGAGAGAGGGCATGGGGGGACACAGAACGGGTACCAAGGGACATGGGAGGGGTGTGGTGAGAATTTGGAGGGGATGTTGGGGGGTATGTGGAGGGAATATAGAAGGGACATGGGGAGGGATGTGGCGAGGACACAGAGAAATGATAGAGGGGACATGGAAGGGGATGTTGAGGGAATATGGAGGGGACACAAAGCAGTGAGGTGACAGGGAGGGAATATGGGAGGGACATGTTTGGGGTCAGGGAGGGACACATGGAAGGGACATCAAGCAATGACAGAGGGGACATGAGGGGACACGCAGGGGCACAAATGGGATGTGGAGGGGGTATAGAGGGAACACGGGGAGCTTCCCACCAGGAAGATGGTCTGCATCTTCCCACAGAGCCGCCCGCAGGCGTCAGGGCCGATTGGTGAGAAGGTGACATCAGTGACAGGGACATGGGCACAGCCCACCCGGCGCTGCCCCTGCAGCAGCCACAGCACCAAGTTGGGGACACCGGCCTGGGGCTGCAGGGACACAAGGAGAGACCAAAAGACAGAAATTAAACCCTCCAAGAGGTTTGTTGGTTTGGAAAGCTGACATTCCTTTATTGGGTGCACCCAAATGTATCCCCAGCACCCACCAGAGCAGGGGACAGTCATGGACTGATCTATATTCATCACATTGTGTTACATATTCATTGCATTCCTGAATACTCTGCTAATTATCTCTGCAGAGTTATTGGGATCTGTCTTTTAAGGGGCTTTGGTGGTCATTTGGGAACACCCTATTCCCCAAATTTCCCTATGATGGTTCTGGATCTACTGATGAATCCTCTCTCCTTGAGAGTGTCTCAAATACATGGTGCCCCTTCTCTGATCTCTCTGCTCTGACACACAACCCTTGTTCCCAAAACTAAGACATCTCCCAGTCCATATTAATTAATCACTGATACAGGTAATTAAGGCAGCAATAGCTGGCACAAGACTGTTAATCACTGATTTAGAGATCAAACATTATTGTGCTAAAGTTAAAAGAATTTTCCAACATCTCCCCCCGGCTGCATGGAAAGAAATTTTAAAGAAATTTATATTTCTTTAAATTTACATTTCCATTACATTTATATTTAAATTTTAATTTATTTTTACACTTGAATTTTAATTTCATAATTATTTATATTTGTATTTAAATTATAATTTAAATTTCCTATTAATTAAATTTAATTTGCTTTTTAAAGAAATATAACTTGTTCAGAGATGATCATGCCCCAAAATTCCCCACCTCCACTGCCAGGGCAGCCACTCGTCTGAGCCACCTCTCAGCCCCCGAGACCAGTGTGTCCCAGTCGTATTTCTCAGCCTTTACTGGAGCCTCCTTGGCCACATTCCACAAATGTCGAAGGAGAAGCCGCCGGGAATTCCTGAGCTGCTCGTCCAGAGCCGTAAGGGGTGTGGGTTGTGCCTCCAGCTGGGCCAGTGCCTGCCTGCAAAAACACCCCCAAAACTCCCAGTTTGCACCCAAAACGCCCGGTTTTTTCCCCACTTGGTTTCCCTAAAAATGCCTTGTGTCCCTCCAAATGCCGTTTCCCCCACGAAGTTCAGTTCCACCCAGCAATGCCCTGCTGCCCCCACAAACGTCCCATTTCCCCATCCGAATACCCAATTGTCTCCTCAATTGTCCCATTTTCACCCCAAATGTCCCATTATCTTCTCAAATTCTCATTTGCTCCAATTCCTCATTGTTTTCCCCAAATGCCACATTCCACCTTCAAATATCCCATTTCCCCGTCATTCCATGTTCGTCCCAAATGTCCCATCATCCTAGAAAATGTCCCAAATTCCCCATTCCACTCCCCCAAACCTTGACTGAGAAGCTCAAAAATCCCGT